CTAAAGCAGCAGTCTTAGCAAATGAGTGCGACTGCTTGCGGCAGTTCGATCATTGTCACCCCGCACAAGGGTTCTCAATTTAGAGATTCAACAACTGGTTGAACATCATAAGTGACGAAAAGGGTGGAGCGCCTGAAGCCATGTAATCTCTCCGCCAGAGTGAGCAAGCTTTGGACTACTGTTGAATTCTGAGGAGACACGAAGATGCAATTCGGGCCCGAAGAAGTGCGCGAGCTATGTTGGCCGACAATTTATACTACAGTATTCGGTGGATAAGGCGGAAAGATGTGTTACCCGACGGGTCTGCAAAATGCCAAAAGACTGCGCACCACTTGTTTTCCCCGACACGGAGGTTTACAGTGCCATCAACAAAGTAATGGCATTTATATCACCAAGGTCTCAATTTGTCAGTGACCACCCTTCAAATATCCGATGTGTGAAATATCGGAAAGGTTGTCCCACTGCTTGGGAAGCCTTCCAACTTTGGGGAGTCTTATCGCCCTATCACTCTCATTTCCCCAGTAGTGAAAACACTTCAGGCCTAGCGTCATAAACGAACAGATAGATGGTACCTCAACCTGGCCTCGTAGCGTTAGACTTGTCAAAAGCTTCTGACTCAGTCAACCATACAGCGCTGCTCGAGGACATCGCTCCTTCCGGGACTGAAGAGGTGAGCCATGAACTATCTCAGTGGTAGACAATCTACATCAAAGATTGGAAGTTCGGAAGAATAGTGTCCTCTGCCCGCTACTGTTGAATCTTTACTTTTCAAAGCTCCCACAACCAGCAGAAGGAGTTTCTTTTGCCTCATACGCAGATGATTGAACGATCATGACGTCGGGCAATGGAATTAAAGGCATGTGCTCAAAAGTGTAGGACTGTCTCCTAGAAATTTCTCGCTTCTCCACTGCTAAGAGCATAAAACTCTACCCTGCCAAATCCACGGCTACCGTATTTTCCAACTGGACGAAGGAGTACAGGCGGGACCTCAGCATTTCCGTCGATGATGTCAAACAACTTTTCTAACGATAAAACATTACATGGCTTTACATGCACTACGGATGCATACTTAAAGACCTCTTCGAAAGACTGTTGAAGCAGTTAAATTGACTTTTGAACATTCTACGTNTTTGTCAGTGACCACCCTTCAAATATCCGATGTGTGAAATATCGGAAGGGTTGTCCCACTGCTTGGGAAGCCTTCCAACTTTGGGGAGTCTTATCGCCCTATCACTCTCATTTCCCCAGTAGTGAAAACACTTCAGAAATAGCGTCATAAACGAACAGATAGATGGTGAACCATGAACTATCTCAGTGGTAGACAATCTAAATCAAAGATTGGAAGTTCGGAAGAGTAGTGTCCTCTGCCCGCTACTGTTGAATCTTTACATTTCAAAGCTCCCACTACCAGCAGAAGGAGTTTCTTTTGCCTCATACGCAGATGATTGAACGATTATGACGTCGGGCAATGGAATTAAAGGCATGTGCTCAAAAGTGTAGGACTGTCTCCTAGAAATTTCTCGCTTCTCCACTGCTAAGAGCATAAAAGTCTACCCTGCCAAATCCACGGCTACCGTATTTTCCAACTGCACGAAGGAGCTGTACTCCGGGACCTCAGCATTTCCGTCGATGATGTCAAACAACTTTTCTAATGATAAACAACCCTAAAATTTTAGGTGTCACATTCGACAGTCTGCACTCCGCACTTCAGCCGTGGGAACACCCCTCCGATTTTCTACACATCGTCGAGTGTTTTAACATCGGCTTATTTATTCCGTCTGGGCCGAAGGATTTAGATGCCTTTGCTTTGTTGTTACTTTCGGATAACACATCTTTTCACATTCATTGAAGCTTGACCTTGTGCTTATATCGGGAGTAAGCTCCCCTTCCAGAGCGTAGTCAACTATAGCAGCGCCGGCTTTAAAGCAGCATCAGTAGATGGCATCCGTTTCTATAGCTGCTACGCACCACCTAGCCTCTCCATTGTTTAATTTACTGACTTTCTGGACCCACTCGCCGAGGACGCGAAGGAACATCATCCAACAGTGGTGACACGCCAACATACACCAAAGGCAATGCAAGTTCAATTATAGACCTCACCTTTTCCAATAGCAGCCTCGCCAGAAGCAGCCACAACTGGAGAGCGATGGACATCTACACTGCCAGCGACCACATTGCGATTCTCTGGGAAATATCAAACGACCAGAGCCCGAGAAGATCTGATAAGCAATCTAACACCATTAGCTGGAGGGTAAAATCCTTCGATTCAAGTACAATGGTAAAGCTTTTGATGGAAACCCGATCTACACTGGATGCGCAGAAGAAAAGACAAAGGACCTGATGAAGAGAGTGACTCAAGCTTGTGACGCCACTATGCAACGTAATCGTGGCACAAATCAAAGACCCTCGGTGCACTAGTGGAACGAGCACATCAGCGTTCTTCGCCAAGGGTGTCATAGAAAAAGAAAATTATCCCAACGTGACTATCGGCGACCTGTCTTGGCAGATTTTATCGCAGAGTACAAAAAAGCTCGTCGATCCCTAAACAAAGCCATCAAAGATAGCAAGAAGAAATGCTGGAAAGACCTCATCAATGAGGTAGACAAGGACTTGTGGGGAAGACCTTATAAAGTCATGACACACTTGAAATACCAGCCAATGCCGTCACCGACGTGTTCTCAATTCTGACAGAAGATCGTGGCTACCCAGTTTCCCCGACAGCCCGTCTTTAACTACGTGTTAAAACAGAACGAACTGGATGATATTCCACCTGTCACGAGAAAAGAACTGAAGGAAGCTTTTAACCGCGTCGGGAATAATAAAGCGCCGGGATTGGACGTAATCCCTAACATCGCCTTAAAAACAAATAATCTGATTATTAACACGGCCAATGAGGCAATCGCAGGAACCTAGTGGAAGGGTGGTACAAAGAAGTATTGTTTGGTGGCCGCCTTAGACACCAGAAACGCCTTCAACACCGCCAACTGGGACTGCATCATGCAAGCTCTCCGAGAGAAAAACGTGCCAGAATATCTGTGTAAAATAGTGGCCAGCTTTTTCACAGAAAGAGTGCTAAAATACGACACGAACAATGGTCCGAAGGAATACGATATTACCGAAGGTGTACCTCAGGGATCAGTACTTGGTCCACTTCTATGGAAGGTCATGTACGATGGCCTACTAAGACTGAAACTGCCAATAAGCGTCAAACTTGTAGCATATGCGGACGATGTACCCGTAGTGATCGTCGCGAAACACCTTGACGAGATTCGCCATATGTTTGACATCACTCTCGAGCGAGTTAACCGGTGGATGGATACAGGGAACCTTCAACTGGCTAAACAGAAAATCGAGGCTGTGCTTATTACTAGCAGAAAAGTGGTGGATGCAATCAAGCTAAAAGTCGGAGACCAATAAATCACATCACAACCTTATATCCGATATCTGGGAGTGATGCTTGATGCCCGACTCAACTTCAAGCAACAAGTGAACAACAAAGCATCAGAAGTGAGAACTACTTTAGTAAGACTGATGCCGATTGTCCAGGGTCCACAGCAGAATCGGAGACTACTACTGTCATCAAAAGTCACATCAGTGCTGACTTATGGAATATCCATCTGGGCAGATGCGCTGGACACCCAAGATTCATGGCGAAAAGCTGCACCAGTATATCGGCTGAGTGTCTTAAGTGTAGCCAGCGCTTTCCGCACAATATCTGTGGAGGCAGTATGCGTTATTTCTGGAATTCTGCCACTTATGGTTCTTGCTGAGGAAATACAGAACCTTTACCATCGAAAAAGGTCAACCACACTGAGCCCTGATGATCTCGGGACAGAAGAAAGGCAAAAGAGCATCGCACGTTGTCAACAACAGTGGGATGCCGCAGAGAACGGTAGATGGACAAAGCGTCTGATACCACGGATTGATGTTTGGCTGAACCGGAGCCATGGCGAGGTCAACTATTGTCTGACTCAGATGCTTTCAGGGCACGGTTGCTTCCGGGCTTATTTATACCACTTCAAGCACGATAACTCTCCGAAGAGCCCGTCCTGCCCAGGAGTTTTTGAGAATACGAAGAATGCTTTCTCTCAATGCCCACGATTCAGTCACCAACGAGAAGAACTGGAAATGAATTTAAATGGAATAATCCAACTAGAGACAATAGTAGAAACAATGTTGTCATCAGAAACTGCCTGGAAAGCAATCAACACATTTGCAACAGAAGTCCTCATAGACTTGCGTTCCATCGAAAGAAAAAGAGCGAATGACAACAACTAGAAGAAAGAAGAAATAACATCTTAGCTATCAGATGGAAGAGCAGTAGCTAAATTTTCCCCCACGAACTAATGCCTAGCGGCGGTTTCCGCGAGGATATGAGGCCGGAGGAAAGGGGATGTTTTAGTCGGTATTAACATCAGTAATTCACCAGACAAAGAAATTTATTGTCGCAGTATTGCGCCATGTGGACCACTCCCTATGTGTCTTAAGGCCTAAACAGGTCTTCGGATGGCTGCAAAACATTACATGCATCCACCCCGGGTTGGACTCAATGCCAACACGGATCAGGAGAATATACAGCAACCCTGCTGCTAGGTGTTGCTCTAAGTGATTACAGCATTAGCTTATTACTTACCGATCCAAACCGGGTTACACCCTAGAAATAACAGCCCTGGGCCGGACGAAATCCGGATCAATTCCGGTAACGTAGACCCGGCTGCTGTAGGAATCAAAGATTACCACAACAGGTACAATTGTCCCGGATTTCTAAATTTTGTAGCTAACCCCATTAACCTATAATGTTTATACAGATTCATAAACATAAGATGCTTTACTTGGGAATATTCATTTGCAGCAAGAAAAACGTAATAACTCAAGTTTGACTTTTCAATTACAGTAACAAGAAAATGGTTTGCGTTATATGTTAATGTTATACAGTTTAAAAACTATTCTTATATAACACAAAATAAATACGAAAAATATCACTTCTTTGGTAAAGCCCAACCGTAAATCCATCGCGTATTACGATTGAGATAGGAGCCCCATGATTCCACAGGTTTTTCTGTCAGGACCATTGACTGCTTTACATTAACTGTTTGCTGGAAATCTTTTATGTCTTCAATAACCTTGTCTAATTTATGAAGCACTTGATCAGTAAGGGCACTCTGAACATCTTTTCGTAAAGTATAAAATTTCCTTTGATTATAAAGAAATCCAACCACTGAGAGTACAAACGTGATGAAAGAGCCTAATAACGTTCCAACAATACCGAGGATTTTAATCATATTGGTATAAATCTTTTCCTTTTCATATGAATCATTTATAGCCACGGAAAAAGCATTGAATAAATATTGTTCATGTCCATCAACCGCTGCCAACTCCTTTTGAAGCTCGTCGATTTCCGTGTATATCTGAAAAAAAATACAAAAACAATTTTGCTAAATTATGAAATGGCTGTCTGAAGAGGTGATGCTTAATACTTTTAAATACTCTAAATCTACATAAAAAGCACTAATCAGACTTCGTTTCACTATTCACAGTGCAACCATTAACACTTTCATCGACTCTCACAGGCAAATGGTGTCCATGCAGAAGAAGAGACCCACGGCTGAACAAGAGTCCGAAGTGCCTCGCAAAATACAAGACCCTGGCCTGCATGACGTTAACCTCCCTTTTTTGCATGTCCATAATTGATGAATTTTCGAACTTTAAATACAAATATCTTAAAAAGCATAAGCCAGCGGCAGCTCTGTATATATAAATTAAGCAGATGAGTAGCAACGGATTCCAACTAAGCCGATGAGCAGTAACAGTTCCCAATAATAGAGGTAGTTCGGCTAGTGCCGGAGCTAGTAATTAATTTTACACTTTACCTCAAGCTGTTGACCGTCCTCGGTTAGTTTGTAGCTATCGATGGACCTTTGTACTTCCTTCGACGTTTGTCTTCTCACATGACATAAAGTTTTGATTGTTCATCCTATGGAGTTGGGACATGCTTAATACCGGATCGTGACTAATGATATTGAGTAGAGATGACCCTGCTATGCCTGGCGTTCTATCTACTATTTCGCGCTGGTACACATGTTTAGTGTCATTGATGATTGTAGAGGAACGAAATGTGATGGGATATATCCCGTTTGTAATAATTTCTTGACCTTCGTCTGTTCTAACTTTTGCTATAATCTCGTTGATGATGATGTTGCCGTCACCTAGTTGTGTGATGGGTTTCAGGTGGCTCAGTTGTGTGCGGCAAAACGCTGTGCTGCCGGCGTGTAATGCTCGTGCACATGTGTCTTGCTCTGTTAATTTGCAAACGATAGCGTAGGTTGTTGTTACGCTCTCATTGACTGCTAGTATGTTGTCGTTGCATTCGGCTATGGTGTTATCTTGTATATGTAATGTGACGAGGTTGTGTGACACCGAGATGGTGATTTTCTTTCAGATGAATTTGATCTTAAGATATGCTACTAATATTTGAGCGGTATTTTCGGACTGAAGGATCTTAATTAAAGATGCTTAGGTTAGGCTAGCTGTGGGGACTTCTACATGGTGCTTATTTAAAATGGACCTCAATTTGTCATGATCAAAAATAATGAGATTTATTATGTCAGTCTTAGCTAGCGTAGTTGTGAGTATCAAGTTTGTTATTTGTATTGTTAACATTCTATTCCTTGCTAATAGTGTTTCATCAAATACGGTGTATCGATCAACACTTCTTTTTTGCTTTAAATATTTCATTTATTAGAAGCACCTGGCGTGCCAACTTGCCCAATGCGCACAGTTATATTCGTTGGTGATTTTGATCTGTTCATTTTTGTCGGTAATAGCTATCACGAGATATTTGTAATGACAGACTTTAATTGCTTGAAAATTTGGTACCAAATTATGTTATAGGTATACTGGCTTATGTTGATAAATCGCAATATATTGCGTTTACCGTATCTGTATTATTTAGTGGTTTGATCATCTCGAATAGTGACTTTATATGTGAAATTTATTAGATGGCGTATTTTTTTTGCCAAAGAGTATAATGTCCCGTTTTAATAGGAACTTTGCTTCTTCGAGCACAATCTGATTTCTGAAACAATTTTAAGGTTTCTCAGTCGTTTCAACCGTGTCATTCTCGGACAGGACATTTTCCACGAAGTTTTCCTTGCTTGGTTTGTTAAATACTTAGTGTTTCTGTGTGAAACTGCGAATGTAAGGGGTTGGTGGTCAGTGAAGATATTGATTACTTTTGACCCATATAGGTAATTTCGCAATTTGCCCAGACAGATGTGGGCACTACAATGATGTAGGCACACTGTCACAGTAATGGTCCTGCAATTGTTTAGAAGAAAATATTGTAAAGATCGTCCGAAGATTTTCATCAGACATTTATTTGTTATTCTACTTGAGCCATGAATCGAGTTACCAGTAAAAATGTTTTCGACAGCAATTACTTTCTTTAGCTCCTTTACGGGCTTAACGCAATTCTATTGCGCCCTGTGTCAACCAATATTTTTAAAATTCTCTCGTCGTGCTGTCATTTGGTGTATGACAGCCGGGAGCGCTCTCTAAAAATTTAAATGGGTCATTGTCACCTAACGATTCGTTATCATCTTCGACTTCGAGTACAACGAGTTCCGCTGCCTTTCCATATTCTGATCCTTGTGAATCGAGATCGCGTTGAACAACGTTATTCAGTTTCTATCGCTTTAGTCATGTTACCCTTTCGGTCATGTTTCGTTTTTTTTGGGCCTGTTCGACCCATTTTGAGGTTATGGAATGGTTGCCTAAACCTAGAGGAGGAGTCAACTTCCATTGGATCCGGTATTTGTCCCCGGTCTTCTCTTTAGTTTTTTTTTGTTTGCATTGAATTGTTGTTTCTTGGCGAAATGCGGGGTTTTTTCATTGCCACGTTTGTCCTTAATATGTTTTCCCTTCTTGAAATATGATCACGTCTTATACTCTTCCTTGGCCTGTTCCGTTTCAGCAATAGCTCTGACGTATGTGTTTGAAACCATACTGCCTTCGATACCAGCTTCTGCTTCTCTGGCCAATTCTAAAGCAGATGGTTGGGTCTTTGGCTGCGCCGGAAAGACAATAGATTTAAGGAACTTTTTTAGGCCAGAAATGAAAGCATGAAGTGCGTCGGCTTTGACCTCCTCATTGTGTAGTGTAGCCTGCTCCGCTTCATGTGTCATTACAATTTTGTTGGCAACTAATCTAAGTTTTTTTTCAACCTCATCGTTATACTCTATTATTCTTAGCTCACCTCGTCTAACCATTTCAAGTCCTTGCCTCAGAAGGCGTAGAAAGGCTTAGTATGCATATGAGCAACTTGTCTAGCAATTATTGCATCGAAATTAAGGACTGTATTGTGGGTCACTGACACTACTCTGGTCGCTCTCTGATTTTATTTCTTATTATCGTTACCGGCTGTTAATGAGTGCAGCTGCCATTAAATGGTTTGAATAATTCGTACGCGTCCATGGCCGATTGCCTCCAAGCCACGTGCTCATCTGATACTTCACTAAATTCAGGGATTGATTTAAATATAAGGTTGTCAAATATCTCCGCTTTTTTGCTCTTCATTCAATGCTTTATAAAAAGTGTTACAGTGATCGGATTTAGTTAAAATATGCGCCGTTTTGTTCGATGATCTGTGTCCATCTAGACGGCAACTTCATAATACCTTCCTCGTAGAAGAACCCCCCCCTTATTTGCGAAGAATTCGGACAGCCACTTTTCACAAGCCTCTTTTGAGTTCAACTTCACACCACCAAGGGCATTCGCCATGGACAGGAACAGGTGGTAATCACTTGGCGCTACGTCCGGGCTATATGGTGGATGCGATAAAACCTCCCATCCGAGCTCCCGTAGCTTCTAACGAGTCATCAACGAAGTGTGTGGTCTGGCGTTGTCCTGGTGGAACACTACACCTTTCCTGTTGGCCAATTCTGGACGCTTCTGGTCGGTCGCCTGCTTCAAGCGGTCCAGTTGTTCGCAGTAGATGGTAGAATTAAGCGTCTGGCCATATGGGAACAGCTCATAGTGGATGATTCCCTTCCAATCCCACCAAACACACAGCAAAACCTTCCTGGCCGTCAATCCCGGCTTGGCCACTGTTTGGGACGATTCACCGGCCTTCGACCACTACCGTTTTCGCTTGATATTGTCGTATGTGATCCATTTTTCGTCGCCAGTCACCATCCGCTTCAAGAATGGGACGAGTTCGTTCCGTTTCAGCAGCATATCGCTGGCGTTGATTCGGTCCAGAAGGTTTTTTTGCGTCAAATTATGCGGCACCCAAACATCAAACTTTTTCTTGTATCCAGCCTTCTGCAGATGGTTCAAAATGGTTTGGTGACTAACCATCTCCTGGGCGATCCGAGATGCCATATGCCAGCTCTCAGTGTATTCCATGCGATTTGATCGGTATTTGTCGTACATGGTCTTCCCGCCGGCTGGCTAGCTCCCATGGTGTCGTTTCACCAGCTCTGAATCGATCCGAAACCATTTCCTCCGCGGTTCGAAGTGATAAGACCATCCCCAAACACCATTAATCTCACGGAACGTTTCTTCTAGCGAGTGCGTTTACTGAAAACTTTAAATAGCGCGAATTTCGGCGTTAGTGAATCCATGTTTCACGTTCATAACTGTTGAACGCAATATCAATCATGCATAGCGTTGTTTTGTAGGTTATGTCAAGACCTTTCAAATTATGTATAGTGTTGCCAGATACGAGCTCTGTAGCGCTTTGTACATAGCCGCGAAATTCAAAAAAGCGGAAGGGAGATATTTGACAACCTTATATATCGTGTGGAATGTTGCTCACGATATCTTGGTTCATTGAAATTCAGACTTGGAGTTATGCGTCCTGTGTGAGCTCCTTAAGGCCTTTGTTGGTCACTTGAATGGGGTGGCGGCGCAGTGCGCGAACATAGTGCAGGTTGTACAGCTGTTGAGGCAGATGTCGCAGTAGTGCGTTGGCACCATGGGGCCACGCAACTCGTAGTCCACGCCCTATGAGTCTTAAGGCCTGAGCAGGTTTCTGAAGCCATGCTGATGGTCTGCTTGACTCAGGTGGTGAGTGAATGTCGGGAGTAAAAGGGCCTCAAGTGTCTTCACTCCTGGGGAAAGGAGAGTTATCGGGCGATAAGACTCGTTGGCGGGATTCCCAGGTTTCAGTAGAGGGACCACTCTTCCGACTTTCCACACATCGTGTATTTGAAGAGTGGTCAGCGACAAGTTGAAGACCTTGGTGAGATAACTTACTCCCGTCAAACCTAGGTGATTTAGTATCAGCATGCTTATTTCGTCAGGGCCAATGGATTTGGACGATTTGGTCTTGTTATTGCCTGAACATCCCCATCGGTGAAAATGGTGCACGGTCTTTTGGCGTTTTGCGCAGCCGTCGGATAACACA